GTATGTGGTCGTGTCGCTAAGGAGTGTCATGATCTTATCTTCATAGTCCTTCTGGTTCAGTATAACTGTGCACCTTCCTTTGTATCTTGTGACTCGATGTGATGTGAGTATCAGTCACATGGAGGCAGGGCTTAAAAGCCTGAATTTTGCCTGAAACTCTCAGACTGAAGAAGTCTCTTGGAGGAGAGACGAAACGTTTCATTTGAGAAGAACCCGTCCAGAAGACCTATACAATTTTTTTCTTTTTGATAAAACATAAAAACATTTTAAATGTTATTCTTATGAATTCATTAGTGGAGTATATTCTATTTATGGTTTTAAACTGAATTTCTTTAGCTTTAGGTGTGATTGGAAATGACATATTCTATTCTAATCAGTTTAATCTCTTCAACCGAAGGGATCTGAGAATCGCCTAATTAACATTTTTAATTGACTCGCCCATGGAGCTATTTAACCCTGTGTGACCAAAACATTATCTCGATACAGTATTGTTGTTTGTTTCTTCCTTTTTATTTCGCCCTGTTTTCCTCATCGTGCCAGCCTTTGAAAGCTATACAGCCACCTGCTAGTTCTTTCTACTCCTCATTGTTTCTGCCATCTTTCCTTGACCTTTTTTAATTACTGGTTTGATTTCTCCTTTACTAAATGACATCATTATATCTATTTGAATTATTATTATTTTTATTGTGTTATTATTATTAATATTATTATTATCATTGCATATTTTTCTGCCAACTCGTTGTCCTTTATCCCTACATGTGAAGGTACAGCAGAGAAGTGGCGACAGAGGACTGGTTAAATGCAAACTGAGGGAGAAGGAAGATGAGCAACATGGAAGAGACTGATTACAAACTATGATCAGGTGAGTGACAGGAGTGTAGAGCTGACTGAGGAAAAGATGAATGACGACTAAGAACACAAGAGGGAGACAGAGAACAAGAAAAAGGATTAGAAAATCAAAATAAAGAACCATGGAAGATAATTAGACCCAAAATATACAGACCCTTACACAATGTGATGACACCCTGCCTCTTTTTTTTGCTCAATTATTTCCATAACAGCATCGATTAACAACATTTTTATGTCTTTCCAAAAGAGTTTATAAAAGTTTGATTTGATTTATTGATTTAACAGGAAAAGATTACTAAAAATCAAGCCTGACTCAGCATAATTGCTGTTTTACAGCAGGTTCCTGTTTTGCAGCACATAAAACACTCAGAAATACAGCATCACAATCACATCATTATACACCATAGACACAAAGACAAACAAGCCTACAGTTTGCAGTAATACCATCTGAGTCGGGGGCTTTATCTGATGCTATCATTTTAAAAACACAGTCAAATGCTTCCGTTTGGAAATCCTCCTCACAAATGTTTTTAAATGTCTCATTAATGGTAAATTATTTAGTAT